TGGTTTATTTGGAGAATGCATGAAGGCTTCTAAAGTTTTCTTTTGTCTCACTAAGAGAACATTTTTTTTTTTTCTTGGTGGTACTGGGGTTTGAACTCAGGGCTTCATGCTGGCTAGGCAGACATTCTACCACTTGAGCTACTCTGCCAGAGCAGTACTTTCAGTCTTGCAGAAGACATTCAATAGCACCTGCTGGCAGAGGTACATGGATTTCTTTTTCAACACATGTAGGGAATGCAACACCTCTTTTTTTTTTTTTTTCTTTCCAGGAAAACTAGATAGTTGTACTTAGAAATGGTTGTTGTTAAAAAGCATTGAGTCCTTACTTGGGCCCAAGAGTTAACTAAGTGTTAGACTGAGAAGCACAGAGAGATAGACAAAGAGATGGTTCATTGTCAGCACAAGTTTATTTAGGAGAAAAAAAACCTGCAGAGAGGGTCTCCAGTGAAAGAGCTAGAGCCCACAGCCACTTACAGATGGGGTTTTACAGGAAAGTAAGGACCTGGTAAAGGGTGAGGGAATTTTCCATTGTGGCTTGTCTAGTGTCTGTTGCTAGGGGTAGTCAAGGAGTTGAGTCTTGTGTTCTGGTACAGGTACTGGGGAAAGGACATTTCAGTTACAGACCAATGGTAAGAATAGAATGCAGCTGGGGGTAGTCAAGGAGGTAGGGCTTGTGTTCTGGCACAGGTGCTGGGAAACAAGAGTTTCTCTTGGGAGCAGATCTCTACTGGAGCCAAATAACTCTAGGGTCAAGGAGAGTTTAAGATAGCATAAGTGATGTCAACTTGAGACCTCACAAAAAGCAGGACAAAAACCTGACACCCCACCTTTATTTTGCATCTGTTTCCTTTGCTCTCAGTCTCTCTCTCCTGCAGCCACCTTGGATTCTAAGACAGGATTGATCCATAACATCTTTAGGACAAGGGACTGAAACTACCCCACAAGGAATAGCAGAACCTCTCAGGACAGCCCACCCACCAAATGAAGACAATTACATATAATGACGAGGCTGCACCCTGGAACAGGAGTAATCATTTATCTCATGGGAACCAGATTGCTCCCCTCAAGTGATAATAACTTCTCCAGAATCCCTAGCAGAACCAGAACTGAGATAATGATCAATCAGACCACACTTTGCATGGACACGTAACTATGCATGCCTCTTTCCCCTGCTCCAATTCTTCCTCTATTTAAAACCTGAAGCTCATGTCAGTACCCCAAAGATGGGCTGAAATGCTTTCTGCCCTCATCCCTCTCCCTACCATTGTATTAATAAATCTCCTTTCTCTGACCTTCACCAGTACTTATCTCTCTAATTGGTGTATTGGGCGAATGGACAAACCTGACATTCTGGAACCCCACTCCCCAGTCAGGTCTCTGGCCTAGGACTCTGATTACAGACCTGAGTTGTCAGCCTTTGGAGAGGTCCTGAGATCTCTCTTCTGGCAGATCCTAGACCAGGTCCTGGAGGCAGCTCCCGTGAAACCTCCCTTGGTCCAAAGAATCTTTTGGCTCTATCCAATCCCCAGAGTCGATGCCTCTTCCTTCCTCTTTTCTGGTCTGTTCATCCTGCACAAGACCCAATGGGAACCATACCTCCCTGCAGTTTTACTGTAACTAGTCCTTTTCTGCCTTCCCACTGCAGATTGTTTTTTTTTTTTTTTAATCTGCAATGTTACTCAGCACATATTCTGACTAGTACCACCAGACTAGCCAAACAACTTTGACAGCAAGAATTGAGTGCTGTCTTTGTGGCTTCACAGAGTAGGCGCACAACTTAACATTGGATTGGATTTCTAATAGGTTGAAATGCAATTAGTCACAGAAAAGAGATTTGGTTTGGGTATGGTGATACATCCCTATAATCCCAGCACTTGGGAGGCTCAGGCAAGAAGATCACAAGGTTGAGTCCAGCCTGGGCTACATAGTGAGACTTTGACAAAAAAAAAAGAAGGAAAAAACTTGAAAAAGAAAGGAGAGTGGCTTTACCTGGTGGAAAGAAAAATGTCCCCAAACTCATTGAAGAATACCTGAACTTGGAGGAAAGGGCAAGGGGATAACACAGGAGGAGAAAAATTGGAGAATAAGAAGATAAGGGATTTATTTGTTATTCAAATGTGTTTTTTTCTTATGTATGTTATAAAAATATATTTTATGACTCTTACCTAAATAAATAATTGTAAATGGTAAAAAAAAAAAAAAAAAAAAAAGGGAAAGGCCCTGGATGACAAAGAAGTAGTGTGAGAGGAGCAAATAACAGAAATGATATTGTCTGCTGGGTGCCAGTGACTTATGCCTGTAATCCTAGCTACTCAGGACAGAGATCAGGAGGATCGCTGTTTCAAGCCAGCCCAGGCAAATAGTTTGTGAGACAGTCTTTAAAACCTTAAAAATAAACATCTAAGGAGACAGGTGGAGCAGACTCCTCAAAGGGATAAAATGACAGGCCTCTCTCCAAGAAAATAACATGCAGCTGTCTTTATCCTAGATAAGGGAGACTCAGGGAAGCAGCTTTGAAAACAAACATCTAAAGAGATGAGAAGCAGGCCTCTCAAGAAAAGTTAACACAGCAAACCTCCCACCAACATAGCAAAAGGTAGCTACAAAGTATAAACGGTGGGCCTCAAGGCCAGGACTAGCTGGCCAGACCCTCTAGGAATGTCCAGCTTGATAAGATGGTCAGGTGGTCAGGTTCAGGGAGAAGTCAACTAGATGACATCCAATTACAAATGTAGTTTCAAGGTAGAATAGGTGGGAAGTCAGGCAGAGCCCTACGTTATACCCTAGACTTCAGCCGTTCCATGGCTTAGTTTTTTTCACTAAGCCCCTCCTGTGCAGGGAGCTTTGCTATCCTTTCGATAAACTTTGTGCTTGCTTTACTCTTAACTCCTGGTCCAGCATCTTCAATCATTGGCTTCTTCACCAGGACAAGATCAATAGATCAACAATTCAGTATCAGTAGCAAGTCCTAAAGTCCTAAAGGTGAGAAGTGTTCAAGTTGGGTTTTTTTTTTTTTTTTTCTTTTGGTTGGACTGGAGTTTGAACTTAAGGCTTTGCACTTGCAAAGCAGGCACTCTACTGCTTCAGCCACACCTCCAGTCCAGTATTTAAGCTGGGTAAGAAAGGCACCATCCAGGCAGGACTGGAAGAGTGAGCTGCAGGGCAAAATTACCAAGGTCATGGAGACTGTTTCAATGGCTTTAACAGGATTGGGACAAGTGCAGCCTGGAAGCTTAGGCTCCTAGGGATAAAAACGAAGTGGCTTTTGCAAATAACTGCACTACTGCATCAGTATTCCAGTTATATATGCCATCATTTGAAAAGGATTGATCTAGCTGTGTGTGTTTAAGTTCCTTGGAAAGCCTCAGTCCTTGCTTTGAGGTCAATCTCCACTGCATCCCCATAAACACAATTGCAAAAATACTGAAGCTAAGTTTTATTTACTAAACTTCACCTGCACATAAATGCATTCTTTCTTTCTTCACACCTCCTTTCTCCAGCTATGTTCTCTCTGTTCTTACATACTGCAATATGGCAACTGGCTGTGACTTTAGATGTTACTGTCTAGTGAGCTTTCTGAAACCTGATTTGCTTGAATCAATGAGGCATTTGTCTAATGAATCTGAGATTCTGATGGAGGGAGGTAATCATGGGAACTTTCTGGGAGTTTGAATTTTGAAAGACTCTTTCAAGGCAGCATTCCTCATTCTGTTACTGTATTTCCATTCCTTCTCAGAGCACTAATGCTTATACTGGTTAAAAGCAGCTGTGGGCATCAATAAATACTATTTTTGTTTCTGCAGTGGGTAAGATAGAGTTCAGAGCCTCTCACATGCTAGGCAAAATTTGCTCTACACTCTGCTAAAACCCCAAGCCATAATTAAATATTAAATGGGACATCCCAGAGAGAAAATTATCTCTAATGTTAAAGAAAACAGAACTTTGTAGAGAGAACACTAAACAAAAACTGAGCTTTCATGTTTGGGCTTTCTAATTAACTCCCATAATAATGTTATTTAGTATTTCTTCTGCTCAAGGCCCTGTACTTGGTCATCTCTGGGAATAGCTCTTGACTCCCTTAGAATCTATACAATAAGACGGTGACAACTTTATATCCTTGTAAAGCTAACCAATCCTGCACTTAAACAGCCTAATCTGACATCTTTTTTTTCTATATAACCTGTTCTTAAGTAACTTAAATTGTATGATAATAAAAATGTTTAAAAAATTTAAGTTGAACCCGGTTATTTCTTGCTCCAAGTCTGAAATAAAACTTTCACACGGGCCAATGATCTAACCTATCTGAGATGCTTGGCTTTCACAGTGGTCACAGGCTAACCTTGGACAAGGGCTTTCAAGACAAAACACCAGCTGGGAGGAAATAAACCCTCCTTTCCCCGCCCTGCACTGTGGTCCTATCAGTTGTCTTAACGCTGTGTGTGTCTTGCAGAGACCTTCTGGCAGTAATTGGTTTGATGAGTTTCTTTAGAGCTGCAGTCATGATTAAAAAAATGCTACCCAAGCACAGCGAGGATGCCCTTGACACACATCCTATTTTCTGGGAAAAGATTACTACCACAGAAATTGAGTTGGGAAGTGGAGACAAATTGCTCTCAGCGGGTTAGGCAGTGGTTCAAAGTACTGCAGTTGACTGGAAATCACACCACGCAGTTTTCCTTCCTCTAGTCTGCAAGATAACCACGGTGCACCTACGGAGTATCTTGCAAGATAGAAGTCAGGGCCACACAAAACAAACTAGACTGTAAGCGATTCTCAATCCATCACAGAGAGACCCACGGCCAGATGAAAGCAGGAAGGCCCGGAACTCCCCTGCGGGCGGACTCTGGAACCCGCTAAGAGTGTAGCAATGATGTATTTGTTTGCACGGGGCTTGCGGCGCCTGCAGCTGGCTGGAGCCCGCGATGACGTCACAAACCCGGGTCAGTCACGTGACCCGCGCCGACCCGCCCCTCCCGCCTCCCACTGGCGCCTCTGCCGTCGCCGTCGACGCAGCCTTCGAGCTCAGGGTCCCGCCGCTGCAGCATCTGGAGTTCTTTGGCCTTCGCTGAGTCAGGGGAACCGGCAAGCGGGGTCGCAAGGCTAAGCGACCAAGGCGGCAGCAGGAGCGGCCGAGGAGCCGGCAAGCAGCCTTGCGGAGGGCCCGGGGCGACGCGGACAACGCTTTCGCAAACTTGGGCGCGTACTCGAGCCACTGCGCCCGCGGCCGGAGCGATGAAGATGGTCGCGCCCTGGACGCGGTTCTACTCCAACAGCTGCTGTCTGTGCTGCCATGTCCGCACCGGCACCATCCTGCTGGGCGTCTGGTACCTGGTGAGCGAAGCCGCGCGAGGGGGGGCGAACCTGCGGGGACCCCCGGCCGGGGCCGGCTCCGGCTCCGGCTCCCGCGCGCCTCAGGTCGGCCTCGGCGTTGCGCGACGCGGGCGCTCATCCGCCTAAAGTTACATTATTAGAAACTTAAGTCTCCGGACCAGCCTGGCCTCGGAGTGTCCGAGCTCGGTCAACCTGTGGCGGGGGACGGCCGAGGTGCGGGGGGGTGGCGGGCTTCAGCACGCGCTCGGGGCGGGAGAACTCCGCTCCCCTCTTGCCCGCCTGCGCCCCTTCCTCGTTTATTTTTTTCCTCCTAGAATCCGTTGGGTTTGCGCTCTGATGAGTGCTGACGACTGTCGGGGGGCCGTGGGGGTTCCCGAGGCTGTTTAGCTTCGCCCGGGTCGGTGCACATTTGGCTTGCCCATTCTCACCGTCCGCATCTCCTCGGGTTTGCAGGGCGTTTGCTCCTTCGCGTGCTTGGATCCGAGTTGGACCAGTTGGGTTCTTGTCCACCTCTTTTGAACGCTTGTTTTAAAGCCCTTGCTCTAGGAAGGCATTTGTGTGTGATTTATTGCGTTTCAGTCGGCCTGGGGAAGCCATTTTACACCTACTCATTTCTTTCCTGCCCACGGACAAGTGATTCCTCTGCCTTTTCCTAACAAGCACAGCAGGCACATGTAGGTTTTTTTTTTTTGTTTGTTTGTTTGTTTTTTTTACGTTTTAGGTTGGCACTTTTAAGGTCTTGTTTGCACGGGGAGCAGTGATTCTCAGTGGAAGCGAGGAAACCTGATGGCTGGAGTCTTGCCCTGTGCTGCCCTTGGCTGATTGTTGGCAACTCTAGACTGCACCAAACCTGAATCGGATTCCTCTGCTTTGTGACGTCATGGTGGGGTGTTAGACTCGAGCTACTTTGCAGTGGATAGTGCTGCAGCACGAGGAATTGCTTACAGAATGGTAGTCGAAAGACATATAAAACTTTGCAGTGAGAATGCATCCTTCTGCATGAGCCAAGATTTTGTTTGCCCATATTTAGTAGTTTGTAGTTTTTTTTTCTATAATATAGACGCTGTATTGAATTGTGAACTCCTTGATTGTGCCATTTAAAGCAAAACAGCGGTTAATAGTTTCTTTTAGACAGTGCCCATCATGGACACACAATAGGAAATTTTGGGCCTCAAAAGCTTTCACATTGAACATTAGCATATTGGCTCAACCCTGACTTCTAAAAGCCAAAGAATTATTTACAGAAATTTAACATAATGAGAGGATAGAATGTCGCCTCAAAGTAGTACTTTTATTGATGAACAAGGCAGACTGTTTTATACAAATGTCTTGCGCCCTCCTTGACAATGTTCAGATCTGCAGACTTGCAAGTGAATGTAATTTGTAGAATCTAGGGCACTGCATTAGGCAGATGGACTACGTGATCTACAGGAAAGATAAATCTGCTTGAGCCCTGTTGGCAGTAATCCAGCCAGTCAGTATTGGTATGATAAAGGAGATTTCTCCCATGCTTTGTCTACTCTTGGTCTCGCTCTTAGGAGAAGTGGTAGTTGGTGTGCAGATATATGTCTTAGCATTTGGAAAGATAATTTGAAAGCTTTGTAGTAGAGATGAGTAAGAGTGTTGCTGTAGGAAACCCACTGTGGGAAACCTGGTTTAAGTACTGAAGATTTTTATAGTCTTTTTAAATTCACAAAACGATTTAGAATTTTTTAGTAGTGAGTTTTCCTCATGCTTTTAAATAAAATGTGGTTATCCAAAACTGTGATTTCCTTTATTTATTTATTTATTGGAACTGAGGTTTGAACTCAGGGCCTTGGGTGTGCTAGACAGGTGCTGTACTCCCAGCCCTTTATGAACATCTTTATGGACTTGTATGGCTAGGGAGTAAGGCCTCTGAAGAACATGGTGCCCCACCCCCACAAGCCGCGTGGATGGAATTGGTTCAGTTATCATAATGCTCAGATACTCAAGAGTCCACTGTAACTAAACCAGAGAAGTAGAGTGATCCTTCTTTATGTGTTTTCTAATTGCTGTTTCCTAAGGTCCTGTTTACCACTTTCTGTACTAGATGCCTTGCATAAGCTTAATTTTTACATATTTCTAGTGTGGTCAATTTTCTTACTCTTTTTTTTGGTTCGACTGGTTTTTCATCTCAGGGCTTTGCATTTGCAGGCACTCTATCCCTTGAGTCACACCTCCAGTCCATTTTCCCCTTTTTTGGAAGATGGGGTCTCTCAAACTATTTGCCTGGCCTGGTTTCAAACTTCAGTCCTCCCCATCTCAACCTCCCAGTTAGCTGGGATTACAGGCATCAGCCATTGGCCTCTGGCCTTATTCCCATTTTATAGATGAAAACTGAAGCTAAGAGAATTTAGGTAATTTATTTTATTATTACTATTTTTTTTTTTTGAAACAAAGTCTATAATTTAGGATAGCCTTGAATTTGCTGTGTCCTGCCTCTCCCTCTTAAGTGCTGAGGTAACAAGTCTGGGTCACCACAACATCTAGAATTTAGGTAATTAACTTACAGTCCCTTAGTTGGTTTGTGGTGTTTTAGACTGTACTGTTGGTATTGATTTTTATTTTTTCCTCTCCCTTTGAATATCAAAGGTTTTCTTCAGTACAATAATAAAACATTGATTTTAGGTGGTAATATGAGAGATCCTTTTTTGTCTTTTTTTTATATTACTTTTTTTTTTTTTTTTTGAGGTACTCTGTCCTTTCTATAATTGGGCTATCCTTTACATAGGGTGAGATTCATAGTCACAGTACAGTTCATTGAGTTGACAAATGAAGATGCCTTTGTAACACTAAAGAATATTTTCCAAAACCAGGAACATTTCCAAAGCCCCAGAAAGTTCCTTTGAGCCTCTTCCTAATTAATCCCCATCACACACTTTCCAATCCATCTGCTACCATGGATGAGCTTTGCCTACTCACATAAATGAAATTTTACTAGGTACACTTTTGTATTCCGCTGCCTTTATGTAGCATAGCTTCTTTTAGACTCACGCATATTAGAGAGTATTAATAGCTTGTTTTATTGCTGCATATTAGTTTATGCTATGAATATGCCACAATTCATTTATCAGTTTGCCAGAGGTTGTACTTTGAGGCTGTTTTTAGTTGGGGGTGTGTGCAGCTGCTCTGAATATGGTTACACAAGACTTCTTGTGGACAGTTTGTTATTTCCATTGGGTAAATACATACCTAAGAGTGGAGTTGTTGGTCATTGGTAAAGCATATTTAACTTTGTAACCAGTTTTCTAAACTGGCTCTACACTTTGCACTTGCACTAACAATGTATGAAGTTCTAGTTGTACCATATTCTTGCCAGTATTTGGGTCGTCTTTTAAGTTGGGTATCAGGTGATCGTTCATACTGGTTTTAATTTATGTTTCCCTTGTGAACAGTGATGTGGAAGAGTTTAATTTTTGCTTATGGCCAATTATGTATCTACCTTTGTGAGGTGCTATTTATTACCCAATTTTCACTGGTGTTTGTCTTTTCATACTGATTTGTAGAAACTTTATATATCAAACGGCTCTTTGTTAAATAAGTATTTTGTGAATATTTTCTTCCAGTGTGTGGTTTGCATACTCATTTTCTTTTTGTTTTTTTGTTTTTTTGGTGGAACTGGGATTCAAACTCAAGGCTTTGTGCTTGTAAAGATGTACACTACAGCTTGAGCCACATCTCCAGTCCAATTTTATTTTTGGAATAATAATAATGGTTATTTTTGGAAGTGGCAGGGGTCTCGAAAACTGTTTGTCCAGGCTGATCTTGAGCTCAGTCCTCCTGATCTCAACCTTCCAAGCAGCTAGGATTATAGGTGTGAGCCACTGGCTCCCAGCTTCTGTCCTAGTCTTAGTCTTGCTACCATTCCCTTATTTAGACTCTTACTCGTTCTCAGTTGGCTGTTACAGTATGATGACTGGCCTTCCTCCTTGAACAGTTAACAGTGGTTAACTGTTAAATGTGGTTAAGGCCACATTTCTATTCCCCTCTCTCTCATCCCCTATTGTCTAGGTTATTTTTCTTTTAGATACTAATGGCTCTGGCAGTTGCAAACCATTACTTAAGCTGTGACTCAGGAGATTCATTCTGATTTGATAAGCTTAAGTTACCCACCTACCTCTGAACCAAACACTGGGGCCAAGGATATGTGAATGGAATATAAATGGTTGGATTTAGGTCTAGGGTACGTTCCTGCCCTTAAACTATAGATTAGGAGGGATGTGAGCTGAAGGTAGGGTTAACTTTACCCAAAGCAGCCAGGCTGAGAGTGAGGGATAATTCCTTTCTGAAGGAATCAGAGGTAATTATTGGGAGGAGAATGTCTGGAAGACAATGAAAAAAACCTGTGACACTCCAGGCTAAAGTCCACATTGCTTTACAGGGTATCTTGAAGACCTGGCACAAGAAAACATACTTTTTCCTTTGTAATTTAATTGTTTTACCATGTGGTACTGGTGGTTGGAAGCATCTTTCATTGACACCTGCAATAACTTTGTACATAGTTTTTTTTTTTTTACATATATATAATTGTTATTTTAGGGTTTTAGTCACTCAGCAAATAGACATTGACTGCTCTTTGTACCAGACACTATTCATAAGGAAGTTGGGTATATATCAAATTACAAAGGATAGAAGAGGTTAGAATAGCTAGTTTCATTAGCTTTGTGACCTCTTTCAAGTTAACTAGTCACTTCGAATGCACAGCTGGCCTGTATATCCAAGTCTGATTGGTTCTCTTTGTATGGCAAGAAGTTCTGGTGTTAAAACTATTGATTTTTGTCTGGGTACAGGACAGTAAAACCAACATCCTGTATTTGTAGAGTGATTGATAGCATTAGACCTGAAAGCAGCCCTGGCAGTCCTAGCTACTCAGGAGGCAGAGATAGGAAGATTGAGAGACCCTATCTCGAAAAAATCTGGCACACACACAGACACCACCCCCCCCCACCCCCGATGGTGGAGTGGCTTAAGGAGGTGTA